GGTTGCACCTCAATGTCTCTTGATTTATAAAAAGGCAGAACCCGTTTGGTATTGAAGCAGCCCGTAATCCTATGAAATTTAACTTTTGGGCCACAAATGTAACCAACTGTTTTCTTAGGTTCGTGCTTATCACAGAAATAACACGCTGAACAAAATTTGTGGTGAGATGCAAATCTATTGGAAAAGACAGTTGACACGCGATATTCCACTATCCGAAAATGGTCTGTTTTACGAAAAAGCATTGAATCTGTGTATAAGTGATTATTACAAGAAATGTTTCACCATATGACAGCACAAACGTTTTGTGAGTGTTATCTAATAGTAAGCGGGAATGTAGCGCTAGCCGAGCAAAACAACGTCGTGATCCCCACCGTTATTATAGGAAAAGTGCTTTGCGAGATCCAATTTTTTTTTTTGGTAGCTGGTCAATGACTCATAAGTTTGGATACAGGCTCAATATAGCAACATAAATCATGCTTCGGCTGCCTTATTGCCTAAAAGCAGTGTATAATACTTCTGCAAATCAGACGCAGGATATGTGGATACTTTTGTCCCTTTTATCCACTGCTATATCAAGTAAATGGGCAGATGCTGCGGCTGCAAAAACGGATGCAAGATATGTGTTGACAAAGTGCGTTGCTATAACTCTTGAATAGGGGACTGTGATATATCCAGGGACTTATCTATGAGATGAGTTTATGCCACGGCTTCAGACCCATATTACAGTACTTCTCAGGACAAAAATCCGAATCTTTCGGTCATATTACAATCGCTTGAAATGAAGCGTATCTGTATCGTCTTGGTGATCAACAAGAGAACTAATAAGTTATTAGTTATCACTACTATACCTTCCAAACAGGGATTTAAAAAAATGAAAAATGATGTTTTGCGAAAATAGTTTTTTGATGATTAGAATGTGCAAGTCTCAAAATATAAAAAAACACAGATCCGTGAGTTCTACAATGACGGCGAAAATATCGTTTTAATAGACGGCGGGAGTGCCCTGTAGCAACTGTTAAAATGAACACTGTAGAGCGAACACTCAATACAGTTTATTACTCCTGTACACCTTTACTCTTTACTGCGTATTCCCTAGACTTGTGCTCAGTACGAGGCAAAGGAAGTGAGCTCGTTCTTGGTCAGTGCCCTCGGTCCGCCTCTCCTCCTTCTGCCATAGAGTCCTCATTGCACTTGTGTTTGGTTGGCAGACAACCTCTGCTTGCTGGTGCACTGTATCCAAGCGTTCTTAGGATCTGACTTACTCTAGTATTTACTATAGTGATCATGAAAAAGCAAGTATATATTTTGTGTTGTCACACCTTTTAGGTTCGGCAGCTGTCTGGCCTCTGACCACGACTCTTTGTCGCCTTCGGACAATCGGCGGCTCCACCACGCTGCACCTAACATACCCACTAAGTACTTGGGATAAGTTGTAGACCCGTCGCTCCTGTCGTGTGTCTAAGCTTTAGAAATTGTTTAGTTGTCAAGGCCTTTGTTAGAATGGCTGCAATCATTTGAGTTAGGGTACAATAGGTAGACCAAGCTTATTTAAGCTTCTTGACGTGTTCACCATATTGTACTTCTCTATCCACTCAGAGATGTACTTGTGTTGTGAAATCATCACTGCACGCTGTTTTTCTGTTGCGCTGCACTTCCAACTTGAGGATGTAAGGAATGCCTCCTAGATCTTTTAATTTGAATCGCTTTGACAGTCCATCTTTGAGTCTCCAGACATAATGACGAGGTCGTCAACACATACCACAACAATGAGCCATTATATCCTCCCACTTGTTCCACGTAGAAAAAAACACTTTGTGGTAGCGCGCAAAACCCATCGATGTCAAGGAGGTATGAAGAACTCTATACCAGGTCATACGGGCTTGCTTCAACCCATAGATGCTCTTAAGAAGTTCACAAACCAGATGCTATTGGCCTCGCTCCGCAAACCCTTGAGGTTGCCACATATCCATTTTCTGTTCGCCCGGTGGGAAACGCAGTGTGGACATCCATCTGATGGATGACAGTCAAGTATCACCCCAATGGCTAACATCAAGCGACGGGGCTCAAACCTTGATACCAATGCGTATACTTTGTCACAGTCAACTCCAAACTCCTGTGATTACAGACAACGACAGATAAAACTGGCAACCTAAAAGCCGGCATTACGTAGCCGCTTCCATAATAACACAGTGTCACTTTTATCCAATCAAATCCAAATATTTTGAAATATGTACCCAATCATGTATTCATTACAATTGAATGGTTATGGTAAAACTGCACCACACAACACCTAAATCTTTGTATTACATGCTCACTTTCATTCTGCAAAAAATGGACAACTCTCCCCCCAAGAAGAAAAAGAAAAAACAGCGAAGTTACAGTGTCCGCAAGAAGCGGGACGCTGTCCGGCGGATACAGGAGGTCGGAGTGGAGGAGGTGGCCCGGGAGCTGCAGTGCGTTCGCGGCACCGCCCACGGGTGGTGTCAACAGGCTGACAAACTGCTCAGCTTCACTGGCCACGCCACCTCCAAGACGATGAAGAGAAAGGGACGTAAGGAATTATTTCCTGACGTCGCTGTCATCGTCACCTTCATGAAGGTCAAGCATCGTGCTGAGTTGGTGA